TAATCAACTACGGCCTTTTTTATGCTGTGAGCAAGATAGCTAATCAATACAGCAAGAGTCAGCTGACAAATGTCTAGATTGTCGACTCGGAGGCAGATTTCTCTGAATAGCACCGAGAACCGAACTGAGCACGATATGGACCGTGGTGCTTTTTTTTGTTGTCCACCTATCTGACGACGAATGAGAGCATAGAACCGGCTCGTTGCAGATGGTCCACATCTGCGCGTCTTAAGATGGAGCTTATAGAGAGTAGGGACACTCGGTTCGATTCCGGGACGAGCCGCTTGCCTTTGGAATTTGTGCCCTTTTTTTCCTGACAGTATTTACGCACACCATGCACTGAAAAAGTCGGTTTGATTTTGAGGTTATTGATTTGAACCAATTTTCGACTATTATGAGTGATTCTCCACACTTGCTGCAGAGTTCTGAGAAACACCGTATGGTGTATTTGCGCTCTGACCTACTGTATCTTACTACGTGTTGAGGTCAACACAGACTCGATGGCGGATGGGCCGCACCCGCTTTCGTTCCTGCGGTCTCCTCCCATTTACGGGCAGGAAATGCCGGTTCGATTCCGGCTCGAGTCGTTGACAATGGGTATAGCTCTTTTTCCATGCTGCGAGCAGGATACTCAACCAAAGGAGTTGTATCGTCGATTTCCCGCCAAATACCTCTTCAATTTTTGTCCCACCGAAAAACTTGAACACGGTCGAGGATGATTTCGAGTCAGTTTATGACTTTCTTTGACTATCTATCGAAGGACAAATGAGAGCATAGAACCGGTTAGTAGCGGATGGTCCGCATCTGCGCTCGTTAATGTGGTTCGGGCGAAAGTATTCTAAGGCAGGGACACTCGGTCCGGATCCGAGACGAGCCGTTGCGCGGAAGTGATGTTCTCCTTTTATGATTCACAGGGAAGCTGGGTTGATTCCAATTTCCGACCTCGATGGTTGTACTATCAGCAGCAATTGCTCGAATCTTGCAACGGAGTTTGCGGTTTTGTATACTCGTTTTGGGCCGACCTATCGCAGTACGCATCAAGGTCACCACCGAATCGAAGGTGGATGGTCCACACCTGCTTTCGTTGGTCCTGTGGTCTCTTTCTATTAACGAGCAGGAGATGCCGGTTCAATTCCGGCTCGAGTTATGTGCAGCCCTGCTTTGATTTCAAGTGCATTTTTTTTGTACCGGTGCGCAGGATAATAAACCATGGACTGGAAACGTTAGGGTGAATAACCGGATCGTTTTATTCACCCGCAAATTGCCCGCAAATCTCTCTGGATGGGCACCGTCCCAATTTGGATCGTGGTGCGTTTCTTTTCGACTACCTATCGAACGACGAATGTGTTAATACAATGCTCGTGGCGGATGGTGCGCACCTGCTTTCGTTGGTCGCCTAGATATGTACTCAATTTACAAGCAGGCAGAGTCCCGGTTCGATTCCGGGACCAGCCATTGCACTTGCCGCAAATAAATCATCTTTTTTTCTTCGGCGCACGCTAATCGACTCGGATGTCGACGTCCGTGATCAGCATATGGAGGAGATATTCAAGGCAAGGAAGACTCTGTGGTGAATCGCTACTCGACGACGTGAGGCACACAGCGATCAGTAGGCAGGAGATGGCACAGGCTGGTTCGAATCCAGCTGGAGTCCTAATAGAAGACGATGTCGGAGTGTTTTTTTTAGCTGACATGGGAAGTTAGAGTAGATAGTACTGACGGAGAAACATTGTTTTCCGCGTTTGAAGTTTGAACCTTGAAGGCAACTTGAAGGACGCCAAAAACCCAAGCTCTCAAAGGAAAGCCCGTGATCCGAGGCGTCAAAGTCGAGCAACCCGCCCAAGCTTCAACAGACTCTATAGTGAAACCCGCCAAGTATGTGAATGCGTTCATACGGGCAGGATGGCGCACTGAGCTGGTTCGATTCCGGCTGGCGTCTTGGAAGACATTGGGAACATTTTTCTCACTGTCGACTCGACCAAGGAATTGGAAACGTTAGCATACGAATGAGGGGATCATTTAAATTTATTCACCAGCCAAATCTCTTCGCATAGGCGCCGAAAAACTAGTACTGTACATATTTGTAGGGGAGCAACAGGCCGAGGACCGTGACACTTCTGTTGCCTCTTTTTCAGGCAACAGAGGCCCCCGTGAGCGTGACAGTTGCTTAAAGAGGCAACAAACGATATTTTTTGGTGAGCATCTACCTGAGTATTACAGCAGTTTAAACTTGTTTTTGGCTTTTGTATCACTAAATTGCTGGTACCCCACTCATTTCCACTACTTTCTAATCCTTGAAATTTTCCCGGATTTATTTCCGACATGTCACGATAATTTCAAGGCAACGAACCTCGTCGTGACCGTGACCCGCCAGAAAAGAGGCAACGCGACGGAGGGGTCCATGACCGTGACCGTTGCTCCCCTACAGGTATGTACAGTATTCGAGTCAGTTAATGCCCCTCTTCTTTGACCACCTATGGAACACCAGATGAGTTAAATACAACCGGCTCGTAGCGGATGGTCCGCACCTGCTTTCGTTAGTCCGTCCTGGGATCCGATTTATGAGCAGGCAGAGTCCCGGTTCGATTCCGGGACGAGCCATTGCATGCCCAACATAGCTTTTTTTTTTGGTGCACGCTAATCGACTCGGAAAAATGCAAACGTACCTGATCGCCCGCCATATGGACGAGATCATCAAGGCAAGGAAAGACTCCGTGGGAGTGTGGGTGCTCGATGTGAATCGTAAAGCGATTCGTGTGCAGGAGATGGCGCAGGCTGGTTCGAATCCGGCTGGAGTCTTAGAAGAGAACATCAAAGTGTTTTTCGCTGCTGATATCGGAAGCTAGAGTAGAAGATATTTCTCGCCCTTGAACAATGTTTTTCAGATTCCCAGAACCTGACACTTGAAGGCAAATTGCAAGCTCTCAAGGGGTCGATTCAGAGGAAGGCCGACTCGAGTTCGGAGACCGAGTGGTGCGTCAAACCCGAGCGAGCCGTTCAAGCTTCAACACTCTCTATAGTGGATCCCATTAAGCACGTCAATGCGTTCATGTGGCAGGGATGGCGCACGCTGGTTCGATTCCAGCTGGAGTCTTTGAGGGGAGAAAGTGAATTATTTTTCTCACCGTTGACTTGCGAAATTGTTGGATTCCTCGAGGCCCGGAGGCGGAGAGAGTTTTTGTTTGAGAGTTCCAAATTATCAGATCGTCGACTCACTCGCAAATTACTCTGAACATAGACCCCGGAAAAAGAGTATTCGAGTCAATTGATGCCTTCCTTCGACCATCTATTGAAGGACGAATGAGTTGATACAACCGGCTCGTGGCGGATGGTCCGCACCTGCTTTTGTTGGTCGCCTAGAGACTCCATTTACGCCGGCATCCCGGTTCGATTCCGGGACGAGCCATTGCACTTGCCGCAGCAATGATTTTTTTTTCCGGCGCACCCTAAATCAACTTGACGTACCTGATCGCCCTCTATAAGGACGAGATGTTCAAGACAAGGAAAGACTTCGTGGGCGTGCGGGTGCTCGACGTAATAATCGCACAGCAACTTCCGTGGGCAGGAGATAGCACAGGCTGGTTCGATTCCCGCTGGAGTCTTGGAGCGAAAGTCAACAATTTTTTTAGTTGTTCACATCGGAAGTTACAGTGGAGGATACCGATATTTCTTGCCCTTGAACAATGTTTTCAAATTTTCAGCACTTGAAGTTTGAAGGCAATTGAAGGACGCCAGAAACCCAAGCTCTCAAAGGAAAGTCAGCGATATCGATCCGAGGCGTCAAAATCGAGCGAGTCCCCCCAAGCTTCACAGACTCTGTAGTAGTGATAAGTGAATAGTGCTGGTGCGCGCGTTGGGTTGCAGCACAACTTGCTTGGTTCGATTCCCGCTGGAGTCTTGGGACTTGCTTGGGACAAAAGCGGAAGACATTTTTCTCGCCGTTGGCTTGCAAAATTGTTGAATTCCTCGTCCTCTTGCTCCTGACCACCACCATCGATTTGGGATCCTTCCACTGGGAAACCTATATCACCGCAGACATACCTCAGGAGCCCTTCGCTGGCAACCTTTACCCACCTAGGGACTTGCCAACACAAACTGGGGTCATTTTTGTCGTCGTCGCTAAGCCCCTATAACTGGATTCGATTTCCGACTTGAAGGGCTGCGTTCACAATACTGTGACCGCGGATTATGACCACCGAATATCGGGCGAAGGGTAAACAGCTGTCCGCGGACCCCAAAATCTTGTCGCGTGAACACCGAGGACGATTTTCCCTCGAGAACGGTTACACCGACAGCATGACTGCGGTGGCCGACAGGTTCACAACCTGAATGTGCACAACTTGTTGGTACCAGGGATGAATACTGTACGGTCCGCCCCACTTATGGTGTCGCTGCCCTCGGGCCATTTCAGACGACTAGGAGCATGTCTCACTGAGCATTGCTCCTCAACCCGCAACCAATCACTCCTCTTGCCTCCAAAGCCTCGAAGAATTTTATTCCCTTTGTACTATGCTCGACTCGTGAGAAGAATACCCTTATGCATCTCTACCCATATCGTTTCGACTAGTACTTAGCTGTAGCATGCATGTAGAGGCGCATCATGCATGTGTGTAGGTACAGCACCCGCATTGTTCCTCAATGGGACCGCCCGCGGTTAATACATCCTCCTCCTCCTCCTCCTCTTTGAGGCTCGAAGGCGGAGAGAGTTTGTTTGGGAGTTTCAGGCGAGGTGTTGATAATGGAATTATTGAGGGTTTAGTCATGCGAGCGGCGAGGTCCGATGAATCGTCCGAGGTCGTGCGTAGCGGCAGTCCAGGAGGGAGGCAGTCTTGATAACATTGTGTTGGAATTACCGCTAAATTCACAGCTGGTTTGATTCCGACCTGGTTCGAAGTATCAGCAGTGATTATTGCTCGAATCTTCCAACATACTTCGCGGAAACACAGTATTGCGTGTCGTTTTTGCGCTGACCTATCACAGTAAACATCAAGGTCACCACAGACTCGATGGTGGATGGTCCACACCTACTTTCGTTGGCCCCGTGGTCTCCTTCTATTCACGAGCAGGAGATGCCGGTTCAATTCCGGCTCGAGTCATGCGGTCCCGACAATCTCTCACTCGACTTTTTTTGTACCGGTGAGCAGGATAATACACCAAGGAATTGGGAAACGTTAGCGTGAATGGCCGGATCGTTTATTCACCGGCAAGTCTCTTGGCATAGGCGCCCAAAACTTGAACACGGAGTTGATGCCTTTCTTTTCGACCACCTATCGAACGACGAACGAGTTAGTAGAACCGGCTCGTAACGGATGGTCCGCACCTGCTTTCGTTGGTCGGCTAGGGATTCCATTTATGCAGGCATCCCGGTTCGATTCCGGGATGAGCCATTGCCACACTTGCCGCAACAGATCATCTTTTTTTGGCGCACACTAATCGACTCGGATGTCGACGTACCTGATTAGCATATGAACGAGATTATCAAGGTAAGGAAGACTCTATGGCGAATCCCTACTCGACGACGTGAGGCACACAGCGACTCGTGTGCAGGAGATGGCACAGGCTGGTTCGAATCCAGCTGGAGTCTTTATTAGGGCGAAATTGAAGTGTTTTTTTAGCTGACGTCGGAAGTTAGAGTAAGTAGTACTGTCGGCGTCGCCTGTTTTCAAATTTCCAGAGCTCGAAGTTTGAAGCTTGAAGGACGCCAGAAACCCAAGCTCCCAAGCGATCCAGGCATCGGAGGCGTCAAACCCGAGCGAGCCGTCCAAGCTTCACAGACTTCATAACGAACCCCGCCGAGTACGTATTCAGAATACATAGTATTCGTCCGCGCGTTGGGTTGCAGCACAACTTGCCTGGTTCGATTCTGGCTGGAGTCTTAGAGGAGAGAAGAACAAGGAATTATTTTTCTCCCCATTGGCTTGCGAAATTGTTGGATTCCTCGAGGCTCGGAGACGGAGAGAGTTTTTTTTTTTTCGAAGTTTCAAATCATCAGATCATCGACTTACCCGCAAATTCCGCTGAGCATAGGCACTAGTATTCGACTCAGTTGATAACTTCCGCTTTTAAATTCAAACCACCTATCGAACGACGAATGAGTCAGTAGAACCGGCTTGTAGCGGATGGTCCGCACCTGTGTTCGTTGATCGCCTAGAGACACCAATTTACGCAGGCATCCCCGGTTCGATTCCGGGACGAGCCATTACACTTGCCGCAACGGATAATTTTTTTTTGGCGCACGAAATCGACTCGGATGTCGACGTACCTGATCGCCATATAGAGGAGACGTTCAAGACAAGGAAAGACTTTGTGGCCGTGGGTGCTCGACGCGAGTTGCGATTGCAATTCCCGTCGGCAGAAGACGGCACAGGCTGGTTCGAATCCGGCTGGAGTCTTGGGCGCGAACACTGGAGATTTTTTTAGCTGACATCGGAAGTTACAGTGGAGGATACCGATATTTCTCGCCCTTGAACAACATTTTCAAATTTTCAGCACTTGACACTTGAAGTTTGAAGCTTGAAGGCACTTGAAGGACGCCAGAAACCCAAGCGCTCAAGGCGCCGATTCAGTCGACTCGGAGACCAAGTGGTGCGTTAAATCTCGAGCAAGCCGTCCAAGCTTCAACAGACTCTGTAGTGATAAGTGAATAGTGTTGGTGCGCGCATTGGGGGGTTGCATGCAGCACAACTTGCAAGCTGGTTCGATTCCGGCTGGAGTCTTTAGGATAAAATTAAAACTAGCACTTTTTTTATACATCGGAAGCTAGAGTAGCTACGTAGGTAGCACTGTCGGCGTCGTCTGTTTTCAAATTTCCAGCACTTGAAGCTTGAAGGACGCCAGAAACCCGAGCTCTCAAAGAAAAGCCGGCCAAGTCGAGCAACCCGTCCAAGTTTCACAGACTCTATAGTAAATCCCACTGAGCACGTCAATGCGTTTATGTGGCAGGGATGGCGCACGCTGGTCCGATTCCAGCTGGAGTCTTTGAGGGGAGACAGTGAATTACATGTATTTTGCTCACCGTTGACTTGCAAAATTGTTGGCTCGGAGGCGAAGAGAGTGTTTTTTGGGGGTTTCACATCATTAGAGCGTCGACTCACCCGCAAATTCCTCTGAACATAGGCGCCGAAAAACTAGTATTCGAGTCAGTTGATGGCTTCCGCTTTGAAATTCAAACCCACCTATTGAACGAATATGAGTGAATAGAACCGGCTCGTAGCAGATGGTCCGCACCTGCTTTCGTTGTTTGTCGAGGAAATGGAATTCCATTTACGCAGGCATCCCCGGTTCGATTCCGGGATGAGCCATTACACCTGTTGCAAATAGATCATCTTTTTTTTTGGCGCACGCTAAATCGACTCGGAATGCAAACGCAAGTACCTGATGGCCACTTTTTTCTTTTCTCTTATGCAAGAACAGACTTTGTGGGCGTGCGGGTGCTCGACGTAATAATCGCACAGCAACCGTGGGTAGGAGATATATAGTCTCTCGGAGACAGACGCTTCAACGAAAAGCCGGAACTCGCTTGTTGAAGTCTGTTGATTACCGCGGGGGTCCGATCGCAGTAGCCGCTTATTATGTAATTGCGGACTTTGAATTCACACGTGCCCCATCACTCAGCGCGAATTTGCCTCTTCCGCGCGTTCTACCAGCCCGTTGACCACCAGAGGACGCGACCCACATTGCCATGGCACACTAGACGTAATATCAGGTATAAATTCGTCAAGAAATTGGTTTGGACGGCGTCGAGTTCACTCGGCATTGGCCAAAGTTCGAACCGGGGGTCTGCCAATCTAAGACATCTCCAGTTGCAATGGAGTTCTGTTATGGCTTGTCGATTTTCCTCCCTGCTGAGTCTTTAGGGCACCGAGACGTTCAAACCCTACCTTGGCCTTTCTTGAATGTCCGAATCTAAGCGCTTGAGCGTGCGAGTTCCAAGGCGGTCAATTCGAAGTACTTCGCAAAGAAGCCTTGACTGTCTGGACCTTTATGTTCACTTCCTTTCAACTCACACCATGTTGTATGTTTATAACCAAATTTATTCTGGAATTGTATAGAGAGACAGCAAGTATTAGAACGGCGCGCCACGGTGTGTGCGGGTAGCGATGAACCATCGACCGCGCGCATTATGACGGCGGAGTCCGAGTGACGCACACTGCGCACTTGGGAGGTATGACGATTGCGGCAGGTTGGGCCATCGCGAAATCGACAGGGAAGGAAGAAAGTGATTGGAATGGGTACAAGGGCGTCAGGCGGCGATAGTAAGAGAGATGGGGATTACGCTGGCGAGATAATGTCCGGGGTACAGAGAGAGGAGGGGAGGGGAGGACAGAGTGGAGGAGTGGAGGAGGTGAGGGGGCGCTTCGGGAATGTGCAGTAGCGGCGGCGCGAAGCCGACTCGGAGGTGGAGGCCCACGCACAGCTGTAAACTGCTAGTTGACGGCGACAGCAACACTATCCCCGTGCGCCAATTCCGCACAGACGGACGGCCATTTGTGTGCGAGAGCGGGGTGAGGGCGGGGAGAAGGAGGGAATCAAAAGCAGAAAAAGAGTCAGACGGTAAGTACGCATCTTTATTCCCTCAAACCGATGCTGACAATGTTCCCTGCGCCAAGTGCACCGCATCGCGACGTCCGAATGTACGGGTGTGTGAGAGATATGAGAATGGGGTGGGTGTGCGGTACACGTACCTTGTTGCCCACGCGTACTCATTCCCGCGTCCTCCCCCTCGATTTCCGCGTGTCCTGAGAACTAATTGCGGTGAAAGCGAAGGGTTAAAATTGTATAGTGTCGAGGGTCCCATTGCAGCGAGTACTGTATGCTGTGTGCTTGTCAAGTGTTTTCCGCAGCACAAGGGGGCCACGAGGCAAGTCCGACCGAGAGAATAGAGGCAGCGAGAGTCCCTGTCAACCAAGTACCCATTGGCGTCCGCTGAGACTTGTGATATGGTGGAGTAGCAGCGCCCACTTGAGTGGAGGCACAAGTTCGCCGTTTCTTTCGGGTTTGCTGGCCTGGGAAGGTCAGGGGCGTTTGGGCAGAGCATCCGGGAGGAAAAACAGAGTAAAGGCTGGGCGGAGGGTGAAGAGAAACACGTCGTTGGTGCTGCGGAAAAGAAGCGGGTGGAGGCACGTGCTAATTGAAACTCCGCAATTACATAATAACGTTCTACTGCGATCGGACCCCCGCGGTAAACACAAGACTAGGAGATATATAGCACAGGCTGGTTCGATTCCCGCTGGAGTCTTGGAGCGAAAGTTGACAATTCTTTTAGTTGTTGACATCGGAAGTTACAATGGAGGATACCGATATTTCTCGCCCTTGAAGAACATTTTCAAATTTTCAGCACTTTAAGTTTGAAGGCAATTGAAGGACGAAGCTAGAGTAAGTAGTACTGTCGGCGTCGTCTGTTTTCAAATTTCCAGAGCTCGAAGTTTGAAGACAATTGAAGGACGCCAGAAACCCAATTGCAAGCTCTCAAGGAAAGCCGGTGATCCAAGTGGTTCGTCAAAGTCGAGCAACCCGTCCAAGCTTCACAGACTCTGTAGCGGATCCCATTAAGCCGTGGCAGGGATGGCGCACGCTGCTTTGATTCCGGCTGGAATCCTAATTGATGAGGAGAATTTTTTTCTCTCGCCGTTAGCTTGCGAAATTGTTGAATTCCTCGGAGGCGGAAAGCGTTTTTGGGGAGTTTCAGGCATGTGTCGGCGCCGAGGGTGATGTGATTTAGGGTTTCTAGTCATGGTGGGCGTGTGGGTGGGTGCTCGACGTAATAATCGCACAGCGATTCCCGTGGACATGAGATGCATCAGCCTTTTCACAGATTTCTTGTTACTGGAATGCTCTTGAATGTGCTTTTCCGCCTGAACCCAATATTTTCGGCAAAAAATGTTGCTTCAATTTGCGTCAACACAACGGTGCACTCCACAGAAAAAAACTTTTTTTTACTTGTGCGGGATTCGAACCTGGCTTGATTGCTTGTAGCTTGCGCACTTGTTGGCCCAATTCAAGCAAGATCAAGCACATTCAAGCGAGTTCAAGAAATCTGCAGGAAGTCTGATGACTGCCGCAGGCTGGTTCGAATCCGGCTGGAGTCTTTAGGGTA